AGGGAGCGGGTCCTCTTCTGGCGGAGTCCACCATGTTGAACCACCACATTTCTACAGTCGCCCAGAACGGACAAACCAAACACTAGTTCTAGACGTAGACATGGCCACCGTAGTTCCCCTACATGGTTGAAAGGCGAGGTGGTTTTTAGTTGGTTTAACTTCCCGAAGACAGACAGAAAAGGGGGTCGACAGGGAGGATGACACAGAGGAAAGGGCCATACGTCGGATTCGAACCCTGAGCCACTGCAGCAAGGACTCAGCCTTTGTACAAATTAACAGCATGTCAGACTGAATCATGAAATAGAAATGCAGTTCGATTAAAAGGCCAGAGGAAAGCAGAAAGCAGCTATTTGCTACTTAAACTGTGTATGATATACTGATGTTCACTTATGATGTGAGAAAACGGATTGTGATCCTTTTAAACAGCCATCTTCACAAGGAGCCGCACAATAGACAGCCGAGTAATTTGATTTCTGCCGTTTGTTTATCTAATTTGAGTTACAGCCTCATAAATGTATCTGCTGTCGCCACCGCAGCAGTTTTTCTTAACGCCCGTCTAAATTTATTCATGAAATGAGGCGTTTGAATCTGTGGCCAAGCTCTTTCATCAGTGCGTTTGTTGGTGTTGATCGTTTCTCAAAGAGCTTCTCCCTCTCCCTGTCTGTGTCTGTCTCTTGGTGACATGATTACCGCCACACCACATCAGAGCCGCAGGGCTGCTACACGTCCCACATTTAAAGAAAACACAGAGGGGTTGCCATGGGGAGGCTGGCAGGGTCGCCGCTGGTGCCCACTTTCTTTCCTATCATCATCATTATCAGACACCTCAAACATTACCACTTTCCACCAGAGCTACACAACCCTTACTTATTATTCACGTCCATCAAATACTCCTGATACAATACTCCAAATGTGGAGCCGGTTCTGGTATCGGTGCCATCGTGGAAGAGTTGACCTGAGCTGACTCCATCTCATGCTTTTCTTCATTAGGGCTCGTCCACACTAATGCAGATACATTTAAAGATGTCTTTTAATGTGTCACAGTCTTCTCCACATTTTCAGATTGTTTTCTACGACTGAAAAACAGCTAAATCTCGTCTGCTTCCACCAGCATCTGGTACAAACATGGTCCGCTCCTCTTCTTCTCTCAGCACGATGAAGCTTTGTTCTGTCTACTCCGACTCTCTGTGTGATCTTTTATTTAGTTTTTTAAATGCAGCCAATCACACAATGCAGGTGTTGTCAATAATGCCTTATATGTCTGTGGTTGACCATCATGCATCAGTGATTTCAAAAAGCTCGGTTTTCCCTTTCACACTACAACACAAAGGCTTTTAATTAGGACCCGAGTAGCATTTTTCACGGCCGCAAAATTCTCAGAAACTCATGAAACGTGGCACACGTGTCAGTGGTAGCATAATTTTACGTCCCGTAAAGAGCAGCCCCCGCAGCACATTTCAGCAATATGTATGAAAATTCAAACGTACAAAAAAAAACATCCTCGAGCCACACCCCAAATCCAACAGGAAGTCGGCCATTTTGAATTTATTTTGCCAATTTACACGCATTGTACGGTAACAAACTCCTCTGAGGGTGTCAATGACAAGCAACGTGACTCTGCGCTACAAAAACTGCGACGTGCAGCGCAAGAGAGGAGTGCATGCCAGGCGAACCATACCAAACGAAAACAATGGTTTTGCAGGAGACACGTTTCTAGCGATGCGTCTCTGTAAGATCGGCCTCGAAGACTTTACATGGTGACATAAAGTTGTCACACTGGGCTACTTCTTGTTTTGCTGTTTAACATAATAGCAGAATAAAAAACGACCAGTGCAACCATCTTTCCAGGCCAAAACAGACCAACATGCATTTCTACACGTATCTGCACTCGTGTGAACAAGCCTTATTTGCTTTCTGTTACACCTTTTTCTCTTTTACACCCTTGAACATTACTCTCTCTCTCTGTTTCAGCCTCTTGTCTCTCATCACACCGGTCCCCCGGAGCCCCGTTAATAAGCATGTGTTTGTAATTACATCCCTCTAGCCACCAGTGACATAGAGGTGCCCTGGCACACAATCACTGGCAGCCAGCGCCTCTGCCTTTATGCGTATGCCCTCTCCCAACCTACCACGCCAACCTCTGTGCCCAAAATAGTTTAATGAGGAGCTTTTTAATGCCTTTATTATGGCAAAAAACTGGCACCATGTACCGAAGCTTAATGCCACGCTGCCCCCACCTCAGCTCGCTAACTAACCGCCAGAGGTAATACTGAGTGAGCGCCTTGCCCTCAGGATTGGGGAACATTTAAAGGCTGTGTTGCTATTTTGTTTTTAATATGCTAACCCCTAACCACACACTTCTGCACGCACCTACCTCTGCTTGCACGCAAAACACACACACATACACAGCTGTGCAATCAGGCATCCTCGGGGGCAGTGATTTACTACCCGGGACTATTTTATTAATTTAATTACACATTTACAATCATTCTTCTCAGAGGAAAACAGGGAGAAAAGTGCTGCCTGTGTGTTTTTTTGCGGAGGCAGCCAAACCTTGTTTTATTTTATGGCAGAGAGAGAAAGATGTTGTTTTATTTTACGAGTGGCCTCAAGGTTTCCTTAATGTGTTAGAAACACAAAGGGTGTGTCCTGTAAAGCAGAGGCCTTTAATGCTCTTTTTTGTTTGTTTGGTTTCTTCTCTTTAAATTTCCACCAGCCCGATGAGGGAAACAATCACTCACCGTAAAACAAATAGGGAAGCATTTTTTTCTATTTCATTTTCTAAACCCGAGCTGTCCGTCAAAAATAAATCGTTTTGGAGACAATGCCGGGCCTTCATACCGAACCAGTGGAGGATCTGCTTTTCGTTCCACTGTATCATTATTTCTTCAACTGCGGATCAAACTGGGCCATTGGTCTGTGTCGGGCGGCTTCCCACATGACAAGAATAAAAATGAGATGAAATTTGCAAGTTTCATCCCTGAAGGGGAAAAAATCTGTCACAACATCGTCGCTCCACCAGGATGTGAGCTGCATGACAAACCATGAAATAACACAGCGACTCAGGAGAGCTGTTAGCCAATCCAACTGACTTTAGGAGGTATATTTAGTATATTTAGAGTTGCTGACTGATTTTTTATTCATACTATATCCCATACAAAGTTGAAAGACCCAGGCTGTGAGGGCGATCAGGACCCCTGTGTTTAAAAAAATGATGGTAGATAGATAATGAAATGCCCTCTAAGGTGCCCTTCTATTGGAGAAAACACAATGTGCCCTCTAAGGTGCCCTTCTAGTGGAGGAAATGAGATAAAGAGCCTTGTAGGATCCTAATCCTAGCCTTGACTAAGCTGTTTCACCATAAATGCATCACAACTTTCTGCACACTGGTGCCCTTTTCATATCTTTGTCTCTGCCCCTCAAACAGTCCACCACTGCCTCAATCAATTGTTTTAAGAGATTCTAATAGAACCAAGAATACTGTGAGTTCAGCAGATGCTTAAAGACAACCACTTGTAATGTGTTGTAAAGTCAGATCTTAATGATAGATTGAAAACATGTTTTGCAAATGGAGTTGAGGCTCTTGTCAACTAATCTGACAAAAACAAGTCCCATTTTCTTGCTTTCAAATTTTCTGAAACACTTTTGTACTCCTCGGAGCTTTTAACTTGTTCCTTTCAGCCAAATCACCATTCCAACCCACTCAAGTCACATTAACACATGTTGATATTGCAACAGGGTTTGACAGATGAAAGTTGAAATTGTTGAAGAAGTTCAGATGTAAATGTCTTACGGGTAAAAATGTAAAAAAGTGTTAGTGAACTTGTGGTTTTTCCTGAAGGCGTACTCTCTCCCTTGTGTTGTAATCTCAGTCAAAGAACACACAGCATCAAATCTCAGTACTCTGCCAGGTTGTGACCTTTAGCTGAGAAGTTTGCAGGCGTATCACGGCAATTATCTTATCACCTTTCTCTATAGGGGCCGGTCAGATACGCTGCCATTTGCATGCATGGATCTGTCGTTAGCATGTGGCTGTCAGCTCTCAGGGAGGTTCGTCTGCGGTGGAAAACATCAGTCAGCCGCCAGCGTCTGACAGAGCTCATTACTCACGTTACCGGCTGACGATGGCAAGGAACCTCGGCTTCAAGTCAAGACATCCTGCATCGCCTGTTATTTGGGCCCTTCAAGTGCCGGGGCAGAACACACACAGACGGGGCTAAACACAGCCAGCGTAGCCACCAGGAATGTGTTTTTGCCTTATTTCTGTTGACGTGTAAGAGCAGCGAGGGAGAAGCATCTGTCTTCGTTTTCCTTGAAACTCTATATATGCAGAACAAGCCTTAATGCTGTCATTACACGTACTGTCTTATTGCTGCAAATCAAATCCATGGTCATGGAATTGGTAATAGATATGGCTGACAATCACTGTGTGTGTGCACTTGGGTCATCCAAAGGGCTACTTGGGATGATCAGAGAGGCACTAGGGGTGAATATAGTGGCACTCAGGTGGACCAAAGGGGCACCTAGGCCACCAAAGAGAAAAATTTAGATCAGACGGGCCCTTGAGCAAACTAGAGGGGTACTAGGGCCAAATAGGGAAGCACTACAGGGAAAAAAAAAGGTCACTCAGACCAAAATCTTTATTTCTTCTCTTTTCGAGGGACAATGCACATTGATCAACATCACTGTAAGGATGCCAGTGTTAGCCAAAAGGCTCACATCCAACTGTTGTCCCTTTGCCAGATGTTAAATTAGCCATTAAAACAACAATAAAACACACAACATGTAAAATTAGAACTGGAGAAAGCAAAACATAACGCAGCTGAACAGGATAAAAGGCTTAGAGGAGTAAGGCAGCATCATGAAAGCCTGAATATGCTTCGAAACAAATGTGTACACAGACTGCAGCCCCATAGTGGACCTAGTGGACCCTTGCATACTCATGGACGTGGGAGGTATAATTCCTGCTTAAGACTGCTTAGGCAATTAATACATTAAAACACAAGTTAGAACAACATAAAATCACATTACATCACAGACACACACACAGAAAGACGAGGTTAAAACCAGAAGGGACACAATCCGACAAACACAAAAAAACACAAGCAGGCATTAAGGGGGGCATGGGAGTCTCTTGGGTCACTCAGAGTAGCACTTGATTAAGGCCAGGACACACCAACCCGACGGCCGACCGTTGCAGAGCAGTCGGAACCTGATAAGTCGGCTCCCGTCTCCACAGTCGTCAAAATGCTCAGACACACCAAACGACGCCAACTGAGCGTACGTTTCTTGCGCGTGCAGCGAGGATAATACGTCCCATAACAGCAGGCGGCCGCTAATCTAGTGTTCCATCTGGCACCAAAAATAATGAACCGGAAATGACGGATCACTCTAGACCTAGTAAACACAGAGCACGCTGTCGTAGTCATTGTTTTCATCAGAGAGTGTTGATAGTAGTAAGAGAAGGATCGCTTATTGTCATTACTCGCCTGAACGGAAAATACGATGGCTGAAGTAATAAGCGAAGATAGCATGGGCGTTTGGCCGTAGTATGTTTACCATCGCACTGTTCCGGGTATTTCTCGTTGCACCTCAGCTGAATTCGCTAGTCATGGGCTAGCACCTCACCAATCAGATTGGTCATTGAGGCGCGAGCGGCCATTGGGCGATTCTACATGTCAAATCGGGCCAAAATGAACGCCGACTGACGACGGCACGGGACACACCGAAACATCTCGAGTCGCCCGACTGTCCGACAACGTCCAACGGCCGATAATTGGGTTGATGTGTCCTGACCTTTAGAGGGAAACTA